TTGTTTTGTTTTGTTGTTGAGAATTGGTGGCATTTGTTGTCCTAGGCTGGATGCAAGGTCAGCCTTTGTGAAGATGATAAATTTCTGATCTCGTGATATGGGAGGATGAAAAGGAGGTTTGGGGATGCTGGGCTGTTGGTGGCACGAAAATGTTGGTGACACGCGAGGAAAAGTGGTTTCGCGCGGCTGCTGGCATGGCTGCAGATGTCCCGTGTCGCAGCGGGGAGCGGAGAGCAGTTGCCCTGCGTGATCTGGAAGCATCTGCGTGGTATATACACACACACGCACGTATCTATGTTTACTTTTAAACACACAGCTTGGGGCTGGGCAGGGGGCTGCTGGGGGCACCGGGGCCTGGTGGGAATGAATGGTTTTCTCTGCAGCCTGAAGGCTTTAACAGTATCCAGGCTTTGGAAAGGACAGGAAGAGGGGCTCTGAAAACGTGAGTTGCTGTCGAACAGCTGGCTGGAGGACGAGGAAGTCAGTAAGACAGATGTAAATATTCCTCCGTGAGAGGAGAATGCTGCTTGCAAAAAAAAAAATAATATGAAGCTTTCATTCATTCAGCTGAGCGTAAGCATTCCAGGTGAGGGCAGGACTTGCGCTTGTGCTCAACTCATACATCTCACTTTGTGAGGAGGAGTTTGATTTTCAGCTCTGAGGGGCGAAATGTATGTGTTGATCTCCTGTGTCCATAAGACCTTGTTGCCTGGTTTGTCGCTAAATATCTCATAGCTTTTCTTGTGAAGGCATCCTAGAACGGTTGCTGGGTAGGGGTGTGTGTGTAGTCATTAGAGTGGATGAGTTAGTCCTAGAGCTGAGATCGTCATGTGAGGGCACGATGAAAAGCACAAACTTTTTTGGTAGAAGGGAGTTTCACTGGATAACTCTCAATGTTTGTTTAGGTCTTTATTGTGGCAGTAACCTCAAGTAGTTCCCTATACAGTATGTTTACATCCACTGAGATGCTTTTCTTACTGTCTTGTTTCTGATCACATTTCATCTTTCAATGGCTTTCTGTTTATTTTTCTCCTTAGAACCAGTAGAAGAGTCTCTGCTGGAAAAATATGGATTCCCTGAAGCTGGAACAGAGACCAGATGTTACACAAATCATGCACTGTCTTATGACCAGGCAAAACGGGTGCCTAGATGGGTGATTGAACATATTTCCAAACAGAAGACATTGGGTATGTAGATATATATTTGTTTTCTTATGTTTATGGCGCCCAGAATGAGCTTTGCAGTTCACAGAAGGTGGACCCATGAGCAGGCAGGGAGAAAAATCCTATGGTGATCTCTGGGTGTGGGTTTTTCCACCCATACACAATCCAACTGGAGGCAGCAGGCCTCTGGGCGGCTGTCAGCTTCATGACAGTGTTAAGGCTGATGTTGCCAGTGATTTAAAAGAGGTCTGTCACTGCCGGTTGGCAGGCCTCTTCAGTGTTCTTTCTCTTGTTGGGACCAGTCTGGTAGTGAACATACAACATTCTGAAGCCTGCAAGACACACTTGGCCCAAGGGCTGAATTTGTAAGGGGGGAATGAAGAAGAATTAGAGCTACCCTCTGTGAGAATTTTCTGTTAGGAATTTATGAAACAGCCTGTAAGCACCTGATCAATACAGATGCGGCAGTGTAAACACTCTTAAGTCACGTTGCAGGAGGGAATCTTAACTTACCTCTTTTAAACATGCATGGAGAGAAGATGGAAAACTGAAAATTAAACTTTTCTTACCTGAATCAGACCTGCAAAGTTCAGTGTTACTGCTCAGGCATATGAAATTGCTCTTGCTTCCTTAGCTTCTGTAGTTAGTTCTCTGGGCCAATTTATGTCAGCTGAGCTACTACCCCATATGTGTAAATGCTTGTGGAGTCAGCACCCTTTGTGGCCAGACTGTTACATCTACAGATGTTAAAGAGATTTGCTCAGAACTGGAAGAAAAGATGAGTGTCCATCTGTGAGAAAAAAATGGAGCAAAGGGCATCAGCAGTTGTAATTGTTCAAAGGTAGATAAAGCATACCTGCTCACTGCAGCCTTTATTTGTTTTTGTGCAGTTCTGTTGTATTTTCTGCTGTGCATCAATAGTCTCTTCCCTGTTCTTTATGCAAGACAGAGGCTCAGTGATTTTTTTTGCTGTCAGTGGTGAATGAAATACGAGTGGTACGCAGTCATTGTAAATTACGTTTATAGCGTTAGTTCAGTTTTTATAAGGCAAATTATTAGTAATGGAGGTGACTGTATAATTGTAAGGTGTTTTATGAACGCAGTAGTCCTCTAAATATATCTTAGTCACTGTCTTCAAATTACCTTTCAAAATTAAAAGCGTGATACTGAAAATATTTATAGCCAACCCCTAAGTAGCATCGTTGATTCCACTTCTGCTGAGAAGAAAGCAGTAATTCCAGGCTTACTTTCAAGTGGGCCTTAACAGCCGAGTTGTTAAAATGTTTTCCAAATGATCAGATACAACTAGCGTGCAAGTTGAAATTAAGCATCTTGAGACATTTGACTCTGATTTGTGTCTGATAGCTACTCTGATTGAGATTTGAGGTGGAACTGTGTTGTTCGGGGATGGTCACAAAAACTTTTCATGTACCGGAGTTTTGAAATGATGTGATACAAAAAAATACATTTTATTGATAACACAGAACTTAACTGTTTAAAAAACATGATGGAAAAAAATTAGCTATACATGTAAATGAGAGATACAAATCTAATTACAGAAGAAATTATCCATTTTTATCAAAGCAGAGAATAACCGAGGATATATTTTCCATTTTTCAAGTTTATTTGATAAATTACACTTAGTCTTAGAATGAGAATAGATATGATAATTAAAAAATAAGAATTCTGTTTTGCACGCTGATAAACTTGTCAGTGTTGCTTCCTAAGCATCAGTCCTACATTCAAGTATCATGTCACACGCTTTACCAAAAAAAAGAAAAGAAGACTGAAGCTCCTTCCTTCTACCTGCACTGCATAAAGATGCTCTGACCACCTCTCTGTTTTGACATCACCTCCATGGACAGATGCACAGATGGTCAGGAAATTGCTTACAAGCCCTGGTTTCCAAGAGTTGCATTTTCTGTATGCATGCTCATTTTCCACTCCTGCCCATCTTCCTTGTGATCCTTGTGTATTTTTGGGTTCTTCAGAGAGCTGCCAGGGGGAGAGCGTGTACCATGCTTTGCTCTCAGCACAGAGTACAAGGAAGCATAGGGTGCATGTGCGCTCAGTGATAATATTGATGTGACGAAAAAGCCAGAGCGCATGCAGTTTGTGTGTGTATGCACTGTCAGCTATAGAAGAAAGAATAATTTTAACAATGAGAAGTGATCCGTATTGAAAATTGCCCCTCACATATTGCGACAGGAAGTTTTTTATAAAGTGCTACGTTTGAGGAAAATTCTCTCTGGTGTGTCCAGGCCCTTACAGGAGAAGAGAGTTCGTAATGGTCTTGTATATTGCATCTGTGAAATTATGCCAAAGATCACACCCTGAATTTTATAAAGAAAAAAAATGAGTATGCTGTAGATACTTTGAATTATATTGTCATTTGAGGAGAAAAAAAACGGTGGACAACAGTGATGGTGCTCTAAGACCATTATTTTCCAGCTGCACACTGTGCCGCTGCCTGTGTGGAACCATTGCCCAGGCACAGCTGAGTCAGCCCTTGCATATGCCTCTGCTGCTTCTCTGGAGCACCTTCCTTAACTGTGGACGTCCGTAGGTCCCAGCCCGTTCTCTAATAAAGATGGTGTCTTACTGGAGATTGTCAGTGCCAGAATAATTTGTGCAAGTCTCTTCTGGCCATTGTTTTTCCAAGGAAGCAGTGCAAGGACACAAATACAGGTGTATGGCCAGCAAACCTGGGAAGAAGTCACAGGCTACCTAGCAAAGATAGTAGCTTAGAGTGGGCTGCCATCCCTGCGACAGTTAAGTTAGTTCCCACGACAACCCTCTCCCCGGAGTGTTTTTGTCTGCCAGAAGACTTAGGTCTAGGCATTTTTGTGCACAATTCCCATATGTCTGGAAAGACAGAAGGGGAATCTTGGAAAGGAACAGGAAAGCTCTACGCTTATTTCTGTGCCCATGAAAAGCAAATGACTCAAGACTTTCTCTTGAATGGGTTTATTATCTTACTAAGTGTAAGATACACCCATTCTGCTTCCAGGCTAGACTGGGAAAAAGATGAAATACTTGCAGTGGATGAAACATAAAAATGGAATTGCAGCTGGTGAAGATCTGTATATCTTCATTGTCCTAAAAAGCAAATCTATACTTGTTTTTATCTTTAGCAAGCTTGCCTTTAATATTAGTCTGCATTTGTGATAAGGCTAAAATATTTTGCTTTTGTTTTTTCTCTATAAAATAGTAAGAGTGTTAGAATTTCTAGTGTATAGTGTGGAAGAATTTAGGACCAGAGCACAGATAATTAGGCAGAATTACTCTTTTTTATGGTTGAGGAGAAAAATACCCAATATAGATTAATGCGTCGAATCCTTAAGCATGGATCATTTGGCAAGATGTGACAGAACCGGTTCTTTTTGTCTTGTTGCTGTGATGGTTTAATGATAACCTAACAATTTAGTGTGTTTTTCCTCAGGCAATGCAGACCGAAGGCACTGTAAATTCAGACCAGATCCTAACATCCCTCTAATGTTTAGCGCTGTCAATGAAGACTACCTTGGGAGCGGGTGGTCACGAGGACACATGGCACCAGCGGGAGATAACAAATTTTCAACAGTAGGTTTTTTTTTCCTTTCTTTTTAATTTGTGTTTCTTAGCCAGCAAGTAATGTGTAATGTTCCTTTTGCAGTTTGTTTTGAGATGGAACGTGGTCTCATTATTGATGCACAGACCTGGACTTGGAGTTACAAGGTCTATTCCTGACTGAGCACCATAGGATGCTCTCACAGTCTGCTTCAGGCGTCTAAATCAGGTGCATCCTCTGGTGACATACCTCTCTTCGTTAAATCACATCTAGCTTAGCTTGTTTGGCAGAGATGGTGTGAGTGTATTTTGTACAGTATAGTGTTAAGCATTCTTCTCAACCTCTTGTATGTCACATTGTCTGTCTGTAAAATGCAGATGATAACCTTCACCAAACAAACCTCGGAATGTCTTCTGAAGCTCAGTTAAAGGGAGGCAGGGAGCGATGACTTCATTCTGGCCAACAGGTGCTGAGATGTTTAAGGCTAACTGGGCAAAGTAAAGATGCTGTTAAGTACTGTTCTGTATTGACAAGGGGATTGCCTGGATGATTTAAAAGGCTTTTTCCTTTCTGGCAATGTGTATGAGGTAAATTAGAACCTTCTTTTGCCATAATTCTTTCAGTCTATAAAATGTCTTCACCGGCCATTTGTTTGAACTGTAAGAAAAGCATGCCCTAATGCCTTGGCTGACTAACAAAGCAGCCTTGGATTTATTGGATCCTCTTGTGAAATGTGCCTAATGCAGCAATTTGTCAATTAGGAAGCAGTTTGAATTTGTATTTCTGCCAGGCGGAATAGTATGCAGTGGGGCAGAGTGACAGTGCAGTGGCATGTGGTGGGTGAAAGAACCAGTCGTTTTATTTCTACTGGAAGTGTCTTTGTGGTTATTTGTTTGTGATATCTGGGGAGTTTTTACAGGTGAGTTACCTGTGCAGAGAGATCTGGACCTGGCTTGAAATGCAGTGAGATGATGCAATCTTTCAAATACAGGATTATAAAAATTTAATTTCACAGTTTAATTAGTGCTGGTAGTGTTTGCTCATTATCCTAAAGAGTTCTGTCAGCCCCTTCACTTTGAAGTAGTAGTATGTGAAAAATATTGACAAGTACAATACCTATGAAGATTCTAGGTTAAGGTCTTGAAAATTTTTTCTCCTATAGTGACCTGAGTATGTGTAGTTTTTCAGCACCAGGTCCTTTGCATCTGGAGATACGTGGGCTTCAGTTCAGAGAGGTTTGTGACACTTTTTAAAGATAAAATTAAGCAGATACATAGATGTTTGACTGTTATGGTCTCATAAATCACTTCATCGCCTGCATGTTGTATATTTGTAAAATACTGATGAATATTTTTAATAAAACCTTTTCTTGTCAGGGGAAGAAAAAGCTAGCCATTAGGCATTCAAGTAAATGAAAAACCTGGATGGAAGCATTCTTCCTATTCAAAAAGAAGAGTAGCTACTTGTTTCCAAAGACATTAGAGAGCTGACACTGGGTAACAGTAATTCATGTGTCTCTAGAACTGGACATTCTTGTGCTATGTTTCTGTCAAAAGAAAAAAAAAAGGTAGATACATTTTGCAAAGTTTGCACCTCAGTTATGCACCTCTTAATCCAAAATAATTTTGTAGATGTTCTGACTTAGTTTTTATTTGACCTTTTATGTTGATAATGTTAAGACTACACTAGAAATGGATTCTGATCCAAAAACTTCTGAAATGTGATTTCAGCTCCTAAATGTTTCAGTGAAATGACGCTATTTTTTTCTGTATGCAGAGGGCTATGGCTGAAACGTTTTACCTGTCTAACATCGTGCCTCAGAATTACGAAAATAATGCTGGATTTTGGAACAGGTGAGAAATTACTTGTAAGTAAACTAAGTGAAAAATATCAGGCAGTGGCATAAATGAAAAATGCTATATTTATAAAGCTGCTTCACACCAAAGTGTTCTGGAGCACTGTCTAGGCTATCTGTAGAGATTGTAGCAACTTTCTCTGAAATGAAAGGCAGTTCAGTCCTCACAGTGCTAGAACAGTGCAACGACTACTGTAGTTCCTTATTCAATCAAACTGTACAGGACATTTATTTAGAATAGATAGAATTAATTTTTCTGGGTGGTGTGGGTAAAGGTGTCATGCTTAACAGCTCTGTCTGTAAGGAAAATTTACTAGAAGCAAGGCAAGTGTTTAGATCTTTCTTTAACATCTCTTCCTCAAAAAGACACTTCCAGTGTGAGAGTATTCATGTCTCTGTCTGTGGACATTGGTTCACTTTGAATTGGAGAACTGAGTGCTCCCCGCTGAGTCACGACTACTTCAAGTCTTAGACATTTCTTCGAGTAGCAGTCAGGAATGTTCTCTGTCACTTGTGAATGCCAGCTGGATCAGCTTTGAGGTGAAGTGAGTGGTTGATAAACTTTCTTCACGTAGGATTTTTATTCTTTCCTTCCTCCAAGGAGAGGAAAACGCTAGTAAAAGTAGCGTTCATCCAGTGCTTTGTGCATAGGACTTACAGAATGTTAAGACTCAGAAGCAGAAGGGGAAAATGATGAATTTCACAAGGTTCGCTCAAGGAAAGGTTAGCAAAATTATGTACAGTATTGTATTAAAAGGCTATAAAAAAATGCATCATCGTTGAACCACACACTGCCTTCCAGTTTTACAAGAGTGCGTGTAAAATCATATGAGGCATTCAGTAAGGTTATACTGTTTTATAGACAAATAAAATGTTATAAAATTTTTAAGAGGGTTTTTTTGGTATCGTTTTAATACCTCAAGTATTTGTGCATAAAATGTTCTTATACCAAAACTAGGCATTTGTACCAATTCAAGGTTGGAATCCCTCTTTATTTCCCTTGAGCAGAATCTCTGCCTAATCAGGAAGTCACAGGGAGTGTTTGAAAATTTCCCCTGGCGATATCAGCCCCACAATTTAAGCAGCTATTATCACTTTCTCCTAACCCCAGCACCCTATCCCCACGGTTTAAATACACCAACAAGGTATTTGTGCCGCTTGCTTTGTCAGTCGCTTGTTTAATGATAAGTAGTTTTAAGGATACCATGTTTTGTGTGTATTGTATCCCTTCCTGGCTTCAGTACTCACTTCCTTTCTCTTTTTTAAATTGCTCGCGCCTTGAATTGTCTTCTGAGGTGCAGGTAGACAATACAGCTTAGTCAGTTCAACAGTCTGTTGTTTTTTAAAGTGGTGTTCGCCCTCCAGCCATGTTTTTTTGCTGCTTTCCCAGTTCCAGCTCTGGTAGTAGCCTGACTGCGGCAAGTCGATTCCATTTGCTAACCCAGTCAAACTGATTCTCGTTTTGTTCTGCTTGGTTATGTTTCTGCCTGATTAGATATTTGCATCGACTGGTGAGATGAGTGCCAGAGCCAACACGGAAGATGGAGTAGGACTGTTCAGCTAGGGCAGACAAGGGGAGCAGTAGGAAAGGGGAGAGCAAGACCGCATCTTTCAGCAAGCTGTTAGATAGTAAGCTGTTAGATTGGTTCAGTGGTGTGGTCTAACTGCACTTGAGCATTTATTGATCATTCTCTTCCCACCAACATGCATGCTTCTTTCTTTCCCGATGTTTAACTGTTGTTTTCTGTCTTGTTTTGAATGCGATTTTGTGGCCACTGTAATCTGATCTCTGTCCTTGCTGCCACCAAAAGCAGTTTGCTCCCTAGCTGCATTTATTACCATTTTTTCCTTGTGCCGGGTGGTGTTTGTGTGGCCATGCCGTGAGGCAGCCTGAGGAGCTGAGCTGCTTGGAAGCAAAGCTGACGACAGCAGGAAAAAAATTAGTTTGTGATCAATGCTTTGGCGTGTCACATGGCAGCTCGCTATTACCAAAGAAGAAGGGGCTCATTCCTGCTAATTCTGATTCGTATGAGCTGATTTAACTCACTAACCCAGCACAAAAAATAAAGGCTGGTTTTGTTCAGGGATATTGACAGATGAAGAGTGCTAAATGCAGCCCAAGGGAGAGGTATGAGGAACAGGGATGAGACAGAGAAGGAGGTGAAACCTCCCCCTTCCAGCGGCAGCTAGATTAGCTGGGTTCATCTGTTTCACGTTCTGGTCCGTTTGGCCATTTGAGTGAGGTGCAACTCTGTCTTTCGTAAAGGACCCGTGGGTGCTCACTGTATGTGATTTCTATAACACTTGAGGTGTTGGGTCAAAGATGGGCTACAATCTTTTGGTTTATGTAAAATAAGCATGATCCAGAAACCTTCTTATTTGGAGAAATATTTTATGCTGTAAGCTGAATCAATTAGTTTAAAAAGCAAAAATAATGTTGCTATTTCTGGAGTCACTACTTTTATTTTTAAACAGTTTTATATCAAAAAAAAAGCAGACTTAGTGGGAATGGCACGTTGAAACTGTGCTAAGTACTTTGAGCTACAGAAAGAGCTGTCTGTTGCAGGACATTGATTCCTTGGGGAGGAATGTACAAATCCAGTAATATGGTAGAACCTTTTGAAGTAAGAACAGTGTAACCTGCTGTTGAAAACAGTGTCTTGCTAATCTCAAATGGCCATCAACAGTATCTCTGTAGTGTCAAGTGTGGGAGTAAGTAGAGAGTTGAGATTTTCAGGACAGGTGGTAAGGCTACTGAAACCATTTTCAAATGTGTGCGATAACACATGACTGTCTGTAAAGAAGTGAACCAGGGACAAGTGGGAAGTATGACTTGGGCCTGCATTTTACCTTCTTTGGCTTGCAACTGAGTCACCTGAGTTTGGATAAATGCTCCCAAACTGTCAGTAGTTCCTCTTGCCCTTCACAGTATATTTCAAAGATTATTACGTGAAATTTTTCTAGCTGACTTTACCCTATCTGACAAATGTGTTCCAGAATGGAAATGTATTGTCGGGAATTGACTGAGAGATTTGAGGATGTTTGGGTAGTTTCTGGACCTCTGACCTTGCCTCAAACAAATGATGATGGAAAGAAGAGTGTTACTTATCAGGTATGTATATATGTTACTGGGTTAACAGTGCAGTGGTTAGGCTTTATTTATTTACAGCTGATATTGTAGCTTGATAAAATAAACATCCTAGTACATGCAACATGTGTGAAATGTCCAGTACTAGTTGGGACAAGTTCTATAGAGATGTTATATGTTGCCTACACATGAAAAAGTATAATTGTAAAATAATTTTGTTTTATTTAGGAAGAGACATCTACTAAATGTCTGACACAGTCTACAGTAAAACTGTTTTCTGAGTTCTTGAATACATCACGGTATCTAAGCAGAGAGTTAGTGAGTTTTGCTGATGTGTATGCATCTATTCAGTCATTTATTGATATGTTTTAGAAACAGTGTGATACAAAGGTAGTGTAGGTTTCTCAAAACTGTTTAGAGTATTGTAATGCCTGTGCTCCATTAATTTCAAAAGCAGTTGTTTGCTGATATCCCATATGCATCACTTAAATGAGGCCTTGCAATTGAGATTCTGAGTATACTAAAGTCAGTTAAAAGACTTCGTTCAAGTTCAGTAGGTTTTAGGTGAATGCATTGTAATCACTGCTCTGTGGTACTGGTACCCCCCTTCTTCATTTGGTCCCCCGTTTTTATTACCTGCTTAAAATACTCTGAAGATTTAGGATTGGTCTTTCACAGTCTCTAGAAACCATCACTGATAGACAGACAGGAAGGAAAGGCTGTTGAGAGTGAATTTATTATTGCTTATCCTGACTTACTCTTTGTAAGCACATGTTTAGACATCTGTAGGATCTGAGCGTAGTAAGGTGTTCCAGGGAGGGAGTATTACCTTCTGCCCCTGCTAGATGAAAGCTAGCATAATGCAACTAATAAATGCTGTATTTTACACCTCTTGAAAAAACACTTTTCCTTGAAAATAAGTGCTTGGATCAACTGCAGCCTCAGCTCGTGAGTGATTCAGCTGTCCAACTAATTTTCTGAGGAGTAATGAATGAGCTTGCTCTAAGCATTCCCCTGTTTCACAGAGGCACAAAAGAGAGAGATGTTCAGCTTTCAACACTGGCTTGTTTAGTGGTAAGATTTACGCACTATTTCTCCGTTACAAACACAGGGCTGATTTCTATTTGATTGGACTTGGAACTCAGTCATGATAGAAAGTAATTTTTCCTGTTGACTTTTTACTTTAAAAACTGTCTCTTATGTCCCCACCCACACATATCTATAACCTTGACTGTGACGAAATCACAGCTTTGGTTTTGGGTTTGTTGGGTGGGTTTTTTTCCAAGACAGTCATATGTTATGCATTTGGAAATGCAGTAATAATAATCTTTTATTAATCTTTTAATCTTTTAGTATTATATCTTTTTAATGTTCAGTGGCAGTTGCAGACTTCAGCTCTCACTACATCTTTGTGAGGAAGGTGACAACTGTGCTTATTTTTAAGTGGACACGAAGTCGTGGTTAGGGGATATGACCAATGCCACATGACAAGTTAGTGGCAGAGCCAGCTTTAGACTGGCAATGGTTCCTTGCCACCCAAAGGGCGGGTGCTGACTTGGCTATCGCCTGTTACACATTCCAGTCTTTTCCCTTGTCTGCGAGTGCTGATGACTGTCAGATCCTTCCACAAGATACTTAATGACCCAATGTAATAGAAAACCATCCATGCTGGACTCTTTTATTTGCTTGGTGGGTGTGTTTTCTACTGCTATAGAAAGGTAGAGAAGGACACAGGAGTCCAGCGCTTACTGTTGACAGCACGAGATATGTCCAAAAGCACATAGCTGGGAGCAAGAGGGAAACATCAACAGTCTGGAGCTGAGCATTTGACTTATTGTCATGCAGAATGGTACCGTAAGTGTTCTCTAGGCTTGCACATTGCTTGCTGGAATTTGCCTCCTTGTAGCTGTCAGGATACTGCATTTATTTTTTATCCCCAAAAATACATATTCATCTTACACAGCAAAGAATTAAAAATCCTGAGCTGACTTGAACATTTTATAACTGGAAATTATTTTCCAGGAAGCAGTTCAATTATCTGTGAACTGCATCTATCAACTACTTCACTTCAGTCTTGGTCATCTATTTGTAGTTTTTCTCTAGAGAAAGTGTTTAGTTAAAAGAGAAAGATTACATTTTCTGAAAAATAATTTTGGCGCTCCATTTTGGTTTTGAAATGTAAGTTTTAGTCTTCCATGGGTAGAAATAAGAGCAGGCACTGCATCTTACTGCTTTTATTCAAAGTAACTTGATAGCAGGATACAGTGATGGAAGAATAGTGGCATAAAATGTCTGTGCTGCTTTGATTATCATATTGTTCTAGTTTTGTCTGTTGCCAAGATGTCATCTTCATCTTTGAGTTTGATGACAACTCTGGTCTTTTATGAACATTTTATCAGTTTTGGTCTTAATATAAACTGTGAAGTGAAGTTCAGTGTGAGATAGAAAAGGTGGAATGATGGTATTCATGTTTTTATTTCACCATTTGGCCACACTCATAAATCCTTTACTTAGGTTAAGCTCTATTTAGGTACTAATAATGCTGTGTACAGGTGGGAAAAATAAAAATGTTGATGGGGGCCTGTGTTGTTTTAAATATTAAATTATTTTATTTGAGTCCTCTTCGGGTATGCTCCTAAGTGTAAATCAGTATAGGCTGAGAATTGTTTTGTTGTTTTGAAATCTCTTTATGGCATAAGTTCTTGTGTTTGCCATTGAAGTTGTCCTTTGGGGAGAAAGACTTCGGAGTAGCAAGGTGTGTTGTTGGGTTTTTTTTTTTCCCTTCTTACATCAACACATATACTTTAAAGAGGGAACACAATCTGTCAAAGCACTGGAGAGAAGTTCTTTTCAAACAGATACCTCGGATATAATTGCAGTCATCACCGTTGATTTTTGTAGTCTGAAGTTCTGCCCCTAAACCAAGAACACTAAGAGCTGGCACCTGAGTGAGAAGGGAAGGTACCTCTTAGCTGTCTTTTGGAGTGAATTCTGCGAGGTTCAAACAAGGGTCTTAGAAATGAAAGGCTTTTAGTCCTCATTGTTTGGGCTTATGAAGCTGATGTGGGAAGGTGTCCTTTTTCTTTGTATGTGCTGTTAAAGGAAAAGTGCTGTAGTATATACAATAGTGCTGAAACTCACAACCTATAATCTGGCAATGTGACTGTTAAGGCTGAGCTCCTTTCCAATGTTTTTCTTCTCAGAGACTGTAACTGTGGATAAAAGAAAATCCAGAAGTACTACTGTGAATGGGTCTGCACTGATTTATTTCAGATCTTCTCTTCAATCTTGGTTTCCTTGTTTTTGACTAAAGGAGTGGTGAAATATGTGTCCATGGCTTTACAGGCTGGTGTTTTTCTCATCAGACATTCAAAAAGTTTATTTATAGATCACTATAGAGGAAAAACAGAGCATCGGTCATGGCATTGTTCCCAGTTCCTGCTTGGAGTCTGGTACCATTTGCTGTTTAATTCCAGAAAGGGAATTAACCTTGAACTCTTTAGATGCCAGCGTTGTTCTATCTATTGGCTGAACTTGCTGTATCCTCAGATGTGTTCTGTCATTTCATCTGTCTCCAGTGGAGGCTTTTATTGCAGAATAGATTGATGACTGTGCTTGGTATCTGAAAAACATATTTTGAGAATACATGTAAAAGAGAATGCCAGCAGGAAAAATCTGTTCTGTGTCATTGGAGAGGCAGATGCAGGTTTTTCATCTTTGTCCAGATCAAATCAAAATGACATTGTCTTGTTTTATACATTGCTGTTCTCCAGTGACTGTCACTTTTCTGATTTTCCTCTGTCAGCAGATTTGAAGTTCGAATTACAAATTTTGCAAGAATTCTACTGCATTATACTCAATACTCCACCCTTCTTATTCCCAATGCCATTGTAGTAAATACTAATTTAAGAAGAATTGGCTGTGGTTGATGAGCAAAAGTACAGTTTAGATAACATTTAATTTGTTGTTTGAAGAAGACATTTTTCTGTACTTTTTAGTGATATACAAGGTTCATACTGGAATCATGTCTGCTATTTAATTTTCAAAAGTGAATGACTAGGCTGGGCCAGAGATGCACAATAACTGTACCAGAAGATATACTTACTTGTCATCTAGTTCAGTGGTAAAGAAGTCCCTGGGAAACAAATTGGACCTCTCAAATAGAAGATGGTGCTTTATGGTTTTCCCCAGTCAACTTTCAGAACTAGTAGAGGTTTTCTCCTAGCCAAGATACTGTAGGGGGAGGAGTACTTGTTAAAGGAGGAAATAAACCCAGGGACTATTACTATTTGTTGGCTGCTCCAAATAGGCTCAACACTACACAGGCAACTAATGGCTCTAAGCCCATTATACGTGGCCCATAAAATTTATGTTCGAAGGGCTAGATCTTAGATCAGCTGGTGTAAATGACTAGGGCTCTGTCAGCCCTAAATTTAGACATGATGTACAAATGAAAATAATAGACACTGTTATAAGATTGGAAGAGAAGAGACACCAAAGGTGCAGTATAGATTTATGGGGTTGCTTTTATTTAGCACTGTACCCAGCCTGAAGGTTCTTTTAATAAAAAGAAGAGTGGTGATAGGGACTGTAGTGGATTCAGTGTTAAGTAACCTAAATGGTTTCTGTGGAAGTAGTCTGTCATCATGTAACTACAGTATCATAATGCGTATACAGACTCTCTTTATAAAAAACAAAGGGGGAGGCAGGTTGGAATGTCTGTATTTTAATGCCAGAGCTAAGTATTTAGGCACAGCTCGGGGCGGGGGGGAGGGGGGGGGTGTTACTGTCTCCTTTCTTTCCTCCTTTCCTTTCTTTTCCCTCACCAAATGGTTTGGCGGTTGTAATCAGATCAGCCATAACAAATGAAATTTTCCTGAAGTACATACATTTGCATTTTGGAGTGCTTGGCTGTGCAGTGTTGTTGCAGATTGTTACTACGATTTTTTATCTGTAGTATTTTCTATTTTCTGTATTGTCTGCCTTCACACTCCACAGTTCTTCTCAATGCCATCTGACAGAGC